CTGCGTTGTTTAAAAGCGCAGTTATCTTCAATAATTCATTTGAATGCCTTCCCGATTGAATTGTTAGCTAAAATTTGGTATGAGTAAACTAGACTTAATGAATAAGATGGTCAAAAAAATTCATCAAAAAGTTCCGCCGAGAACCACCCCAAATGGCGACGGCCGGACAGAGTCTCATAAATAAGGCCTTATTTGACCTTTTTTATTAGTATGTGGCCTTATTTGCCCTTTTTCCCAAAGTAATTTCAACCTTACTTTTTTTGCTTATTACACAACTCAACACGCGAAAACAAAAGTTAAGTATTTGGTGAAAAGTTGGCTGATAAGCCTGATAAGCCGGAAAAAAATGTTGCCAAACAGCACCTAAATATCTTTTTATAACATTTCATTAGTATAAATATCAAAGGTGCATATTACTTATAAAATATGACAACGAATTTTGAATACTCGTGACATCTATTTAAAAGATGCACAATCTTTTTAATATAGGCACAGATTTGTACGTCGTGTACATCAAATGATCAAATTAACCATTTCTTCTTATGCATATCAAATTGAAGGTTTCGAAAAGAGAATCTCACTTTCACCTACACACTTTTTTATGAAAGATAAGTTTTTATTTTGACTTTCTAAATAATTTTTTTTGTTTTATGACAAATCAAGTAAATAATAGGCAAAAACAAGGATTATTGGTAATGTGACTTTTTGTATAGCAGTGATTTCTTGATGTTTATAACGTTAGACTTATGCACAAAGTTTAAAAATAAAATAGTACTCCGTATAAGTATAAATAGTGTAGAAAAAATGTAAAGACAAAATGATAGAAAAGTATGAACAAGATTAAAAGGTAAGGATAATCAAATAATTTCAAATGAAAAACTTACACCATATCATATACTCGTATTTACTATTTAAGTAAGGATCAAAAGGAAAAGTCTTGGAAATATATTAACACGGAGGGAATGTAATCAATAGATGTATTGAGTAGAAACATGACCAACACTTAATCAAGAGAAAAGGAGGAACCCATTCCCAGTGATTATTTATCATATATTGATTGAGTTGATTGACCATTACATTGCATTTTATCATATCTATCTTAATATAATAACAAAAAGATTCTTGGGGAACAAGTTCCCGCCCAAACACATGACTTGAGTTTCAAGGTATAGTATTTTGGCTTGAGTTCTGGGTGTAATATTTTGACATGCATTTAATGTTGAATACTTGGTCTTATCTAGGGCACTAATTGAGGCTGGTTTTAAAAAATATCGGTGTAACTTCATGGAAATGTGGTAAGAGAAAACTCCAGAACACTTGAGAAGGGAAAACGGCACATTGAAATTGTAAATCCATTAAATGAACACATGGGGAAATGAAAAGACAAATAATATTTACGATAGATCTTGATCATTTCATCAGCGAATTATATATACCGTAGCTAGATAGCTGTATCATCCTTGCCTAGCTTTGTACTACCATGAATTTTTAGTTTTTTTTTATCATACCATGAATTTTTAGTTGGCGAGTGAAATTAAATGAAGCTGCAAAAAAATTTAGAGGTTATTGCTTATACTTTTTCGATAGTAGGATCAAACAAAAGAGAGGGAGGGGGATTGAAGAAGATGGGCAGGTAATTTTTAAATAGATTGATTTGTGCTGAGAAGGATAGAGTGAGAGAGAGCAAGCGAGCAGCAGCCGGGGGGAGATGCGTTCAATAGCTGATGCGGCTGAAAAGAGCAAGGGGCAGAGATGCTAAGAAGATGATGGTTTCACCAAGTACTCCGTGTTTTGTTTGCATATTCCGTTAATAGTGGGCTAATTTGTTTGTTTGGTTGCATCAAGTTTTGGGTTACTAATTTCTAGATCAAGATAAATTTTGTTAGATTTTAGTTAAATTAATTTGTCTTTATATATATACGCACTTCGTGTGTGTATGTACTGTTGGAGGTATTGGTCCTACCAAGGTCTCCCTTCCACTTTATTAGCTGAGGCTTGCACCCTATTAATTTACTCCCTCTTTGACACCTTTACCTTGGTATATTACCTGATCAATTATATACCTGGATTGCTACCCCATTGCTTCTGTCCGCTGCAACCTGTTTTTTGGCTTAGCTTATACCCGTGAGTGTCCTTACCACCTTGTGACTGTCCTTGTTGTCTGCCCATAGGTTGGCAGCCTACTATAAGTCAACACTCTTCCTTGCCTTTGTGAAATAAGCCTGCGAGAGATACTCTTAAAGAGCAGTGCTCTACTTCTTCTTCCTTTCCTTTGTGTGAGAGTGTAGAGAGGTCCTTTGTGGAGAGTAGAGAGTGGTGTGCTATAGCTTCCTCCTAGTGTGGTGTGTGAGAGTGTGTGTTGAAAGACCTGAGCCGGAGACGGATATACAATCCTAACATGTAGTTTGTATATGCTCTCAAATTTTTACAGAGTTTGCCATATGTGGTCAACACGTTATTCTACTCTAGAGTTTGCCATTGTATTCATCATTATAAATTAGTATATGAATTTATGATATAGTTAGGCTTTATGATATAATTAGGCTTTAAATTGCAACTGCACCCAGTGATGTTAATCGCGGCGCTTTCGCACGCGATAGCGGAAGTGCGGAGCGGATGGCCAGGCTGGCGCTACCAGATGACATGTAGCGTCGCGTTTGGGTGTAGCGGACTTAGCGGGCGCTATAGCGGAGGTGCGGAGAAGGTAGTGGCGGCCGCTATAGCGCCGAGTTTTTAGCGCAGGTGTTTTCCGCTAAATTTTTGCGAGAATTTTTTTTGCGCAGGTTTTCTGAGTTCAGCGCAGAGGGTTTTTTGAGGTATAGGGTTTTTTCAGTTAGCTTTTTTGAGTTAAATTTTTTAGGGCAGAGGTAGAAGGGGTAAACTGGACTTTTAAAACAAAATATTAACCAATATAAAACCCTTTATACGTACATAAAAGCTCAAAACGACTCCAGCTTTTGACAATACTACGTTTCTACTCTGTGATGGCTTCTTCTCCAAGAACGACACATGCTGCTCCCTCTTCCTTCACTCTTCTCAGTAGTATCTTCTAGTGCAACATTTTCTTCTCCAACCTTTGCTGCAGACCTGCAGTGAGTCTTCTTTTCTTCTTCTTATATGGTGTCTAGTCAGTCTACTATCATGTTTAAGCCCATAGGAGAACACCTTGACCCAGCTTGGAAGTGGAACAGCTTGAATGATGCAAACGATGAGATAGAGTTGGAAGAACAAGAAGAATTTAATGAGGAGGGGTGGTGAATGAAGAATTCAAAGGGCTTGCAAGTCGGATCTATTTTTTTGACTGTTAATATATCAAGGCTTAAACTTTTAAACTAGAACCTTGTTTTTAATTCAATGTTTTGACTTAAAATGTTTTAATCATTTATAGCATCTTATGTTTTGCTCATGAAACTAAAGAGTATTTCTAAGTAACTTAGGATTTATGAATGTTAAGATGTTTGAATTCAATATTTGTATGCAATGTATTATATATGCTTCTAGTAGTTACTTATCTATTATATTTGAAAGTAGCCTAAATAGCGGTCATCCCGCTATCCGCTATACCGCTATAGCGTTTTGGGGGCTGGCCGTTCCGCTCCGCTATCTGGGATTGACAACACTGACTGCACCTAAAAATAAGTTTTATGATATAGATGAATGTAAAAATAAACATGTACAGTATTTTTAAAAAGGAAGGCTAGAGTCGCACCCTTCCTCTGTATTAGTTTTTTTACATGTATATGTTGGACATTCTTTGCATAAATTTTTTAAATGAGCTAAGTATTGTTTCTTTTTCAAGTCATGTGTATGACTATTTTTTAAAAAGGAAACTAATTATATTATAGCAATCAAACTGAGCAAGAAAATTTAACAAGTATTTTTTTTGGGGGTGGGGAAAGAAAATTTAACAAGTATACAACTTATAGAACATAAGGATCAGAACATAACAGAAGAAAGAGAAAGTTTAACAAGTTAAAAAACGTAATATAACGTGTTTAATAAGATATAACGTGTTCTTAATGTCCACGGACTCTGAACATATATAATTTATTTATGGACCTGTTTCTGTCCAAGAATGAAGAAATAATTGAAAACCAATTAATCATATCGATTAATGTGATGAAAGAATCTTATTTTGCTCTGGTGTTACAAATGAGACAGTGAGTGCAGGGATGGCCTCAGGCCGGTTCAGGCCCGGTTCGGGCCTGGGCCCGGCCGGTTCACGGTTCAAATATGGGAGGCCCGGAACCGGCCCGGGTAACCCCCGAGTCCGGTTCGGGCCGGGCCAGGCCTCGGTCCAATCTAATTTTTTTTGGCTTCTCCTAATTAACTCCCAACCCTCCCCCCTCACCCCCAAACAACCTCAAATGGCCCAAAATACCCAGCCCAACCCAAAAACTTAAAAAAAATTCAAAAAAAAAAATTAAATTTAACCCGGACCAGGCCCGAACCGGCCGGGCCGGTTCACCATTCCTAGGGCCCGAGCCCGAACTGTATGACTAGCGGGCCGGGTCGACCCGAACCGCCCTAGGGCCCGGTTCCCGGGCCGGGCCGGTTCAAATAGTGTCCGGGCCGGGCCGGTTCAAACAGTGTCCGGGCCGGGCCGGTTCCGGGGCGGGCCACCCAGCCCGAGTCCATCCCTAAGTGAGTGTTGTCTACAAAGATTTGCTTTAAAATCTTTAAATTTTATATGTTAATTTTCCAATGTTTCATTTTTACATTTACATATTACATTTTGATTAATAATCATTGGCTAAATAAACATTTCGGCCGTGCATCGCACGAGAATACTAGTTATGATGTAAATTGTAAAATGTAAATGAACCAGGATTTGGATTTTTGTTACTCAAGTATATAATGAAACATCATCGACATCATAGTCACATTGGAAGTACTACAAGTCTACAATGGTCCATGTGTATTAAAAATCACATTTATGTCTACTTTTTTATTTGTCAGTTATTTCTAATTATTCCTCTATCCTGTGACATATAAATATACGGAGTATAATTTAGAGGTCTTTCTGTTTATTCTCCTTTACATCGACTGAAGAACATCCAGACATACAATTAAACAAAATTGAGACAAACCCCTGAATTCCATATTGGCACGCGATTTTATACATTGGATGTTACCATATAATGCCTAATTACAAAAACAAAGTGATCTATGATACAATTATGAGGAATGGATCCCCAGAACAAAAGAAAAAGCCATAAATTCATCTTCTATAAACAGACAAGACGTTGTATTGAGAGAAGGTTAAGAAGAAGAGCAGAGATAACAGTCAGCCATCTTCAAGGATCTCTCTGTGTACATGCATACATGATGTGCTGCAGTATTTGTAGTTATACCGATGAAAAGGAACTTTACCCGTTAGTGAAACATTGCAGCAAGAACATAAGATGTCAGTTCCAGATGTGTTGCGAGATCTAATATCAACCGCACCCGCTGCTGCCATTCTTCTCTCAGCTGCAGCTGCTCTCTTTTCTCTTTCAGCATCTTGAGCCCTTTTCAGTTCCTCCTAATCATAATCATCATAATCATAATAATATTAGAACATAGGCAAGCAAAAAAAGTGAGAGAGAGATAATAAGAGCGGGACTGCCAGACACACACATCTCCAATTGTGAGTTTATGCCGAACTCATGGCATTTGAGTAAGTGGGTTTTCTGATTACACATGCGAAACTTATCCCTTAAAAAATCCTCAAAAAGTGAAGCTTAACAAGCTAGTAGACAGCCAATGTGGAATACTCGACTCACCCCTTTCACCCTAACTAACATCCAAACAAGCTAAATGGGTGGACAAACAGCTCAAACAGGTTGGGCGGCCGAAGGGGTGAGCAAGTGATCCCACCAAACTGATCCTCAAACAAACTGCCTCGAACCGCCATGTTAAATTGGGTCTCACAAGTGATCCCATCAAACTGATCCTCAAAAGGAATCACAAGGGCTATCGTTTATCAAGCATTGATAGGAAGAATCAAGCTCAATGTGCAACCGATGTAGGATACTCAACAATCACTAACCTCTTTAGACAGCTTTGTTGAGACACTAGATTGAGAAGTTCCACCAGGAGTAGAGATGGAACCAAGCCGTTGACCTTCTGACTTGATTGAAGCAATTTTTGATTCATTAGCCTCAGCCTGTGGATTGATGGCAGTTGGCACACAATCACACACATCAATTCTATATCTTGAAAGCATACTAGCCAGCAGCTATTTTAAGATTATAATTCAGTGCAGAGTGAGAACTTAGAAAAGAGAACTCCTACCTGAGCCTTCTTTTGTCTTGCTTTACGCAATTTCTTAAGCTCTTTTGCCCTTGCTTTTTTCTTCGCATCTTTCTCTGCCTACGAATGTAAACAATATAATGTATCAAAATTCAAAAGTTCTTTTACAACTGTATGTACAAGTTTTTAAATCGTAAGAGCACAAAAAAGAAAGCATTGAATCCCACCCCCTCAAATTAAGTTATTAACAAGGAAAAAAGTAAAGCTTCATGCATAGTGAAAATAGATACTACCTCCATACTTTATTAGTTGCAACAATTTGACTTTTGCACTATTCACATACTCTACTTTTACCACATTTTATTTATCAAACAATTAAAAGATCATATTATGAAAAAGTGGGTTTGACTCCATATAAACTTTCAAAATATTAATTTTGTATATTATTTATTAACAGCCAATAAAATTTATTAATCGTGAAAGTTGTGTATTGAAAATCGTGAAAATAAAAATGTTGAAACTAAATAATAATGGAGGTTAATGCACAGATGATAGAGCAATCTGACATCATTTGGGAGAACAAGTAATAAACCAGTTATTATGATACTGCCCCCGTCTAAAAAAATCTAGTCTCAAATGCTACAAACTTTATTGAAAACAAGACTTTTTAGGAACAGATGGACAATTGACTAATAATCTTTTGGGACAAAGGCTTGGATGTTGTTGTTTTTGTAAGGACTATTGAGTATTGACTATTTATCCTCCAATCTACGTATCCCCTCGCTTTCACATCAAAGACTTTAGAGCTAAATCCTGGAACTGCTGCCTATGAGAAATGGAAATGCAACATAGTATCTACAATACCTGTTTAGCTGCTTGAGTTTCTTCCATTTCTTTTGTCAATGCACAAGGCACCTTTGCAGCATTCCAGTCCCACTTATCAGGGTTTAATGCCATAAACCGTCTAAAAGTGTTCCTCACTTCTTTCTCAGTCGCAAGCATATATGGAGTTCGGCCTCTCTCATTCTTAATGCATGGATCCATTCCCTGTTCTAGAAGGTCCAAAACCTCTTTAACATTGCCTGACTTAGCTGCTTCATGTAAAGATGTAGTAACCCCATTGATCTCATTTTCACTTTCAACTCCACTCTCACTTGATATACTGGGACCACCATTGATACATTGATCAGTAATTTCCTTACTCTCATAATTTTGTCCTGGTTCTTTTATCACCTCAGCAAAGCCAATATTACAAGTGTTTTGACTTAGCAATGAGCCCTCTTCTATGTCAAGGGGAGCTTCTTCATTAACCTCAAAGGAAATTTGAGTCAATAAGTTATATATTCGTCGAGCCTCCTTCAAAGTAGGCCTCCGAACTGTCAAAGGAATATTCCTAATGGCAGTCTGCTGACAGGAAAAATATGGTATGTTCCCATCAAAGAACAGTTGGCGATTGTTTGAAGGAGCGTGTACAAAAACACAAGATGAATTAATAAAATAAGGCTTCCATGCAGCCAGCAATTCTTGAATTTCCTGGTAATGAACAAAATATGAATGTTGATTATCAAAATAAGAAGAAAAGGATAACAAATTGTTTTATTATTGAAATCTATGTTACCCTTTTGAGTGCAAGTTCATTATGTCGACGAAGTGATGCTCCAGCAGAGTGTGCAATCTTCCCACTTCCATCCTTTGATGATTGCTTTTTACCAGCTTTAGCTCGAATAACATACCTATAAATAAAGGAAGGATCATATACATATTGGTTTTATTGGGTAGTACTGTGGATGCAAGTCAAAATATCTATCATGGATTCCCCAGAATATGGAGGCGATAATATTACCCACTTGTGACAAGCTTTAAAGTGATCACTGAGTACATAACTTCACAATTTTCATACGATGATCAAGTCTGGTGAAAATGAATACAAAGACAAAAAAGTTACATATACTACTCTGGAACTCTTTATGAATTATAAGTAACTTAAAAGATGTAGTGGACTAGTGGCACTGTCTTCTTGATTTGAAAGCAGATTAAATTGAACATAGAATAAGATATTTAGTGATGACGTTGATGATGATGATGATGATGATGATGATGATGATGATGATGAATAAGATATCTAGTGAACTGATTACATACATTATGTTTTCCATTTTAAAATATCAAATTAGACAAACTGACCCAGAACGCACTCTAGAATAACTAAATAAATGAAATAAGCTTTTAGTAGAATTTGGCAATTTTTTCTGTTGGCAATGTTATCCATGATTACTTGAAAAACTAGAGGAACCATTAAATATATTTTTGGTTCAAACATGTCATATATAAGCTCTAACGAAAGAGAAGCTAATCAAAGGAAAATATCTAACCTGTGAAATGTTTTATGTGCCACAACAGAATTACCGTCAAAGACACATCCTGCAAAGTGCCCACCTCTTGCGAGCAAAACAACCCTTAACGGACTATTATCTCTTGACTTATGGATTAAATACTTGAGCTTTTCACTAACTTCCCTTTCCTTCAAGTACTGTGAGATTTTGGCATCCTTAGCATTTGTCGCAAATGGTTTATCATTCTCAAATAAAATGTGAACCGACTCCTTCAGAAGTAAAGGTTTCCACAGAGAAACTATCTCTCCAGTCTGCAATTGTATGAACAGTTTATTTTTAACATTGCCACCCAATCCACAACAAATGTCATTTCTGACAACTGTTTCTCTGTCTTCATCATCATCGGATGCTGATATACTTGACAAATCATAATCCTTGCATAAAGAATCTGGGGTTCCATCATCAAAATCCTCTTCCATTATCGTGTCTTTTCCCGCAATACTTAGTTTTATCTGACATCAATAGCAACTTGTGAATTACTGACTGCCTGTTATCCCACTTTACAGAATTCAATTCTCACTTGCACTTGGACACACAAAACTTTTTTAACATCACAAAAACTTCGTTGAACTAGCCTTATTTATAGTCTGTATTAGATAGTTTGTTCGTCCAAACATATTGTTACATTGCCATACCATATGATGTTATTAAAGTTTACAACAATAGTTTGCTGTCGCTATTGGTGAATGGAACAAAAGTTGAAAAGCTACTTTATTTACTATGAGTTGTCGCTTACTACTGAAACTATTCAATTCAATTTATCAGCTAGGAAATGCCTGAAAACTAATCTGTTTTTCTCTAACAATTTTTAAAATTACAATTGCTCGTCAATAAAGACCCCATCTTTAGCAATTCTGCTTCAACAAGAACTTCACTCTGAAACTATTCATTAGCTTGGAAATGCCTCATTAAAGCAATGCCTTTTTTTAATACAGAATAAATTTTAGCATAGTAATTTCTAGTGAGTAAAGATCCCGTCTTTAGAACTTGCAATATTGACCAGTAATATAAACCACTCATTCTTACAACTATGATAGCTTCAACAATAAGAAAATTGCTTTTTAGAAAGAACACCGGGAAAACCCAAAATTGAATAATCGTTAACTTCCATTACAATCAGATTAAGCTCAACAGAAATATGGGAAGAAACTGTAACTAATAATTAATAGAGAGAGAAATTACGTTTAGCCTATGAATGTCGGACTTGAAATGAGAGCGCTGGTCATTGAGAGACTCGAATTCAGCTTTGCAAGTATTGCAAGACCATCTTCGCATTGCATTATTGGTGATGATGCTGTTATCTTCTGATATCTTATCTTCTCTCTCGATCTTCTCGTCCACGAGGTTATAGCGTTCATCTTTGACAGAGAGGTTTTCGAGTTTTTGAGCAACCGAGAGTGGCGATGCGAAGGGGGTCTGGAGGATGCGACACGAATCGAAGAAGTCTGGTGATAGTTCAAAAATAGAACGGTTTCGTCTTCCTTCTATCTTTTGATATCTGTCCTCAGTGCCTTGGTGCAGGTCGGTGGAGGGGGGAATAGGCTCCGTCGCCATCGTCGTCCGCAGCGTTTCGAGTTGCCAGAAGGCGGATGGACTGAGATATTCAAAGCATAGCTTTGGCAAATGGCAAGAAATAGATTGGCCCATATTTAGTTAGGGCTAATTATCTCAAAGACTCAAACTAACAAAATGGATTTGTGTAGGGGATTCTATTAATAGTCACAAAATTTATAATTACAAATCATCTGATTAAATTTAAATAGCTAAAAATAATTAAATATTTATTTTACTCTTATATAAATACGGGGTATTTGAAATTGATGCTACTTCTTTTGCTTTTTTCAAAACAGAAGTAGAATCAAAATTAATTTTTCATAAATTCGTCTCCACCGACTTCTAAAAAACTGATTATTAGAGCAATTAGGACCATTTTGAAGTAATTCTGCACTTTCACCCAAAAGTCTGATATATCTTCTCAAATCTATTTATAGAAGCAGTTTTAACAAGGAGATCTAAACATATCCTAAATTCGGAGGACGTCGATAATCTTGCAGGTACTTTTCTCGTCGTGTTCTATCATAAACAATTTTTCCAAGAAAACCATTTTTTAGTTTGAACATTGGTAATCTTTCATAAAGTCTCTCCGGGTAGTTTCAGTTTCCCGTTCTCGTTCTGTCACCAAGGAGAATTCTTTTTAGGTCATTCTAAGTTTTGATGATGCATCTGTATTAGACTAGCCAAAACTGGTTTGATGTATTTTATGGTTTCTGTTGCTTCTCAAAGTTCAAAAAGAAGAAAAGTGCTAAAAACAAAAGAAGAAGAGTACTAACAAGAGAAGACATACCAAAAGAAAAGAAAAGTGCAAAAAAGAGTTGATTGAATTTTTGTTTATTAGCAGCATGCTAGTGAACTAAACAAGCCTACAACAAAAGCACAAAACTAATGGATTGCCAACAATCAAAATCCGAGTTTAAGAATCGGCGGCCGACAACTTCTGGGTTCGAGCGGTGAACTTCTGATTCAACGACTTCATTTTCTAAACCAGAGGAGGTGGTCTTATGAATCGGCAACCGCGAGCTTCTGAATCGATGTCGGCGAACTTTGAAATCAGTGGCAATGATCTTCTGAATTAGGGGAGGACTTCGTGGACATTGTTGGAGATGCATGGGTGGGTGGCGAACAAGATGACTTTGGACATTGAATCCTGAGGCGAGCTAGTACGAGATGGTGGAGAAAGGGTGTGGCTGGAGATGCAGGGGCAAGTTGCAAACCAGAGGTGGGGGTGGGAGCAGTAACAGGAAGTTGGGGGTGGCAGGGATGGGGTCATTTGGGTAGTGGTTCACTTGAAAAATTAGATCACCGTTGGTGATGTAATTGTAACTGGACGAGGCTTGTCACTAGCTGGCGGTGGTTGTAACTATCACCGACCGGCGATGGTTGTAACTGTCACGGAATGACATCAGTCATTGTGCCCGGTGGTGGCCACTGTGATCTACGTACGGTGATCACTGTGACATTGGTCACTTCGAACGGAGTCAATGTGACATTAATTACTATCAGATGGATTCACCGCCTGTAGGTCACTGTGGGTGACTAGGTCTGGGGCAAGAGGACATGACTGGATTGGACTGCAAGGGCAGCGGCAAGGTTGGTTGGGAAGGGGCATTGGCGAGGCGGACGTGTTCATTGGTTGGGTGCCACTATTGGGTTGGTCATTGGGGCGGGTTGGTCACTGAGATCGAGGCGGTTGTGGTCATTGACGGGTTGTCACTATAGGGTTGGTCACTGGGGTCGGGTTGGTCGGTGAGATCGGGGTGGTTTAGGGTCATATGTCATTGTAGTCGGGATGTCACTTGAGGTGGGTCACTAAGTGTTGGTAACTGTGGTGTTGGTAACTAGAGTATATAGTCACTGGGATAGGTCACTGTTAATAGTATAGAATTAGTTATTAGTCAGTTTCCTAATTGTATGAGACAACTTATTCATTATAAATATATTATCAGGGCTACCAGTTTGGTTAAGCCTGTTTATTATTCTCACATGGTATCAAGATCCTTGTTTTTACCCTATTTTTTTCGGTCTCTATGGTATCGTCCGCCGCCTCCGCTGGGCAGGCCACCACCACAGTGCTTGTGATGACGGCAGCGCCCTTCTTTGTCACCATGCCAGCAGCCTCCTTGACTTCATCTGCTCCGTTTTCTCTCACGTTTGGCTCGACGTCCGGTGTCTTGCAACCTTTGTTTTCAGCGCCATTCCCGATGAGCAGCTCGACCTTAGACGCATCTGTTTGGGTCCAACCAGTGTTCGACTGGTCCTCTTTGGTTACAAACAGTCGTCCCACCGGCCAGAGCTCCGAAACATGGACCGTCCCGCCATCCTCTTCCTCCCGGATTTCGTTTGGTGGTACCACGTTCTATGGATCGCAAGGCTTAACGCCATCACCTACGGTTCAACCGATAGGCCGACCGGCAGCAGCCCACACCGGTTCTTTGGAGGCAATTGCACAAGCTATGGGTTTTGGTGTCGCATGGCCTGATGGGCATTCTCGATGGTACAATTACTACTCCTACTTGATATTTTTTTGATGCTCTTCGCAGAGAGGTTGTGAACAATGAGTATTATTATTATTATTGTTTAAAGTTCATTCAAATAGTTCGTTCTTGGTTGTTTGCTACTTTATCCCGTGATATACTTGTTGAAGACCACACTCTCCAAAATTCTGCTACCATCTGGGAACGATTGGAATCTATATTTATAGCTGCCAGTATGGCTCGTTCTATGGAATTAAAACGTATGTTAAATACTTCTAAAAAGAAGGAAAATCAAACCATGGAGCAATACATGTGTGAAATTTAGAAAATTGCTGATGCCCTTGCCAGAATTAATTCCCCGGTCTCCATGAAAGATCTTCTCGAGCAAACACTTCTCGGTCTTGGTCCAGACTATGAGTCCATAATTACCACATTAACTTCTTTTTCTTGAGGGACTCACCTTTGATAAGCTGCGGACTCGGCTCGTGGAACAGGAGCAACGCCTTATCTATCTCCGCTCTCAGGAGTTGTCCTCGCCTGCTGCTTTTGTTGCTCAACCCGCGGCTCCTGCAGCTCCTGGACATGAACCACGAGGCGGAAATCAAATTAATCGGGGACGTGGACGACGTGGTCAACATGGCAGAGGGACCCGAGGCTGAGGAAGAGGCTACAGCCAGCACGAGGCGCCGTACATGGGCCCCGGGTACGGCCAGCTGCCCGGCTACTATCAGCCGCGGCCGGGACAGCAGCCGTCGGAAGATACTTTCAGCCGCAGGCCTATCATCCAACTTCTCCTTCTCATGGACGTCCAGGTTCAGCTTTATGTAATTCGGTTTTTTTCATCATTATATATGCAGCCTTTTTTGTTACTGGTACTAACCATGGCTATGCAGGCTCACCTTTAGTTGATGGTCAGTTTGTTTCCATTCCCCCGTCACTTGTTTTTCGATCAAATTTGCTATTCACCAGGTCATTCTGTTGTTTCGTGTCCGTCTCGTTTTTTTCAGCCGTCTGCCCCCGCTCTTGCTGCACCCATGTGTGATACTAATGACGTTGTCTGGTTCCCAGACTCCAGATCTTCCGCACATATGACTCTTCAGGAAGGTACATTAGTTAATAAATTTGTTTATTCTGGACCACTTACTACTGTTGCAAATGGAACAAATTTACCCATTAAAAATATTGGTGATATTTCCATTAATTCCTTGTCCCACCCTCTTCATTTAAGATCTGTTTATCATGTTCCTCAAATTAAATATAATTTCTTATCTATACAAAAATTGTGTTCTGACAATATCTGCATGGTAATATTTGATAAAAATTCCGTTTATCTAAAGGACAAAACCACGGGGGCAACTCTACTTCAGGCTTTCAGTAGCGGAACCAATCTCTACCCCATTCGCCTATCTCCTTCACCAGCTTTGGCTTTAGTTTCTAGCGCGGCGCCTGGACCACTGTGGCATCGTCGCTTGGGACATTGTGGCATTAGAGTTTTAGATTGTCTTAAGAAGCTGGTCAACTATGTAGTTTGTTTCTTTTAATCAAGATTGTTCTTCTTGTCGTTTGGGTAAATCTCAAAGATTACCTTTTCAAGATGTTTTTCATAGTGCTAGTAAACCATTGTTTTTAATACATTCAGATGTTTGGCAATCTCCGGTGTTATCTTCTTCTGGTTTTAAATATCATGTCTCTTTTTTTGATGACTTCTCTCATTTTACTTGGATACATCTCATGCGTCGTAAAAGTGAAGTCTTTAATCATTTTAAATCTTTTAAGTGTCTGGTGGAAAATTTATTAGATCATAAAAATAAAAAATTTCAAAATTATGGGGGGGGGGGTTGATAATTTAAGTCTTCAGTCATTTTTTAATTCTAATGGAATTATTTTTAGAAAATCTTGTCCTGACACTCCTCAACTGAATGATTTAGTTGAACGTAAACATTGTCATTTACTTGAGTTAGCAAGAACCATGCTTATTGATGCTGGCCTGCCAACCAGTTTTTGGGTTGAAGCTATTTTGACTGCTGCTTATATTATTAATCGCTTGCCTTCCACCAAATTCACTGGTTTTTCTCCATATAAAAAATTATTTCACCAGACCCCTCACTTCTCTTTTATGCGTGTGTTTGGATTTGCGTGTTATCCTAGTTTTACTGCCACATCAGGCAATAAACTTTCTCCTCACTCAGTTCAATGTGTTTTTCTGGGATATGCTTCTGAATATAAGGGGTATCATTGTCTTGATCCTAGGATTGGTAGAATTTACATTAGTCGTCATGTCCGGTTTCGTGAAAATATTTTTCCTTATTCCCAGTTAGAGTGTTCTCGTTCTACTGAGTCTCCCTCTTTGTAGCCATGTCCTCTGTCATTTTTTCGTTCTTCCACATCGTCACCCTCCGCTACTGTTCCATCACTGCCCCAGATGAAGTTTACTCGGAAACTTGTGCCTCACCACCACCTGTGGACTCCCCGCCGGCAATGGACTCGTTCGGACAGCAGCCTGCTTCGCCGAAAACCTCCAGCACCGACACTCGGTCTGCAGTGTGACACCGGCTGCTGCTGTCTCAGACAGTTCTGCCGCGACGGGCTTCTCGTCTCATACCGACGACGAGGTTGGTGATGTTCAGGTCTCCAGTGCTCCTTTATTTAAAAATATTCATCCCATGCAAACACAGTCTAAATCAGGAATTTTTAAACCCAAAACAATTACTACGTATTAATTTAAATACCGAGGTTTTGGTTCCTGATCCAACTTGCTTTTCCATGGCTAATAAAGATCTTAAATGTGGAGCTGCGATGGCTGAGAAATTTAATGCACTTATTACTAATAAAACATGGGAATTAGTGCCGTTTGATTCTAGCAAAAATGTGGTTGGGTCTAAATGGATTTATAAAACTAAATATCTTTCTGATGGTTCTATAGAACGTCACAAAACACATCTGGTTGCCCAATGGTTTAAACAGTAAGTTGTGGTTGAGTTTCTGAAACCTTTAGTCTAGTTGTTAGACCCACCACTGTTCGCACAGTTCTGACCTTAGCTATTTCATATAATTGGCCTATCCATCAGTTGGACATTATAAATGTTTTTCTTCATGGTCATCTCACAAAAGAAGTTTAAATATATGTGTCAACCACCCGGGTTTACTTATCCCCAATTTCCTAATCATATTTTTCGCTTGCGTAAGGCCATTTATGGTCTCAAAGAGGCTCCCCGGGGGTGGTTTCATCGATTCAATATTTTTCTTTTGACTCATGGATTTGTGTGTAGTCGTGCTGATAATTCTCTGTTCATTTTTCATCAGGCTACTTGAATCATTTATTTACTACTCTATGTGGATGATATTATTATTACTGGAAATTCCTCTAATCTTATTAGTAATTTTATTTCTCTTTTAGGGAAATATTTTGCTATGAAAGATTTAGGGGATATTCATATTTTCTTGGGGGTTCAAGTTGTGCGAAATTCTTCTGGTTTATTTTTATCTCAAGCCAAATATGTGTCAGATTTTCTTACCCGCTTTCATCTTCATACTCTTAAGTCTGTTCGCACGCCATTACCTAGTAGAACTAAGCCGTCTTTTCACTGATGGTGAGTTACTTGTTGATGCTACGGAGTATCGTAACATAGTAGGTGCATTGCAGTATTTGACTATGACTAGACCTGATATTACATATGATGTTCACTTGATGTCTCAATTTATGCATGCTCCTCGTACTTCACATATGTTGGCTGTTAAACGAATTCTCGTGTATCTACAGGGCATGATCACGCATGGTTTACATCTATAGCCTTCCGCACAACCGCATTTGAGTTTGACATATTCTAATGCTGGTTGTCCTGATAGTAGTCATTCTACATCTGGTTATGTTGTTTTTCTTGGTCCTAATATGATTTCCTTGCGGTCCAAGAAACAACCTACTGTCTCGAGATCATCTATTGAAGCTGAGTACAGAACCATTACATACACGGTTCAGGATACATTGCACATTCGGTCTATTTTGTTCGAGCTCGACTTTCCTATTTATCGCCATGTTCGTCTATAATGTGATAATGTATGTGCATCCTGTTTATCTGCAAATCCCATCCAGCATGCTCACAACAAGAACATTGACATTGATTATCACTTTCTTCGGGAATGTGTGGCTCATGGTGATCTCCTAGTACAGTATGTTCCTACAAAGTTTCAGCTGGTTGATATTTTTACCAAGAGTTTGGCTCCTCAACAGTTTTTATGTTTACGAGACAATCCACGCGTAGTTCCTCCTGCTTAGATTGAGGGAGAGTAATATTGTAGAATTAATTATTAGTCTGTTTCCTAATTGTATTAGACAACTTATTCATTATAAATATACTCTCTGGGTTACCAGCCTGGTTAAACCTGTTTATTATTCTTACAACTGTAACACAATGATCACTGTAGCGGGTATGCTGGCTTAGTAAGGGCAAAATGGTCTGTTCAGCCCCTTGTAGAATTTTTGGAAATTTTTAAAAATTGTCACTTATTTGTTCATGAGTTAATTTTTAATAATATTGATGTCGTAACCCCTTGAAGTATTAGCAAGTTGCGTGTTCAGACTTTCTTTCTAGTGAATATGTATGTATTGTAAATTTATTTTTTAAGTCATTCTTAATTCAGAAATTGACCTAAATAGGAGTAAAAACGTTTTGAAATTCCAAAATAGGAGTATCATGTTTTTTATTCCCTGAATAAGAATAAATTTCTGCCAAGTTTGACATTACAAGGCTTTTAAACATGACATTTTCTTCCAAACTTGGCAGATTACTCATATTCAAGGAACAAAAAACATGACACTTCTATTTTGGAATTTCAAAACGTTTTTACTCCTATTTAGGAATTCTCTCTTCTTAATTATATTTGTCAAATGAAAAACGTATAACATGTGTATTCAAACATGTATGAGGACCCATAAATGCATGCACAAAAAATATGTTAAGAATAAAGCTCCAATGAAACTAATTACTAATGGAAATGTTTTAGTAGTTTAAACATTAAACTAATGGAAATATAACATTTCTTATTAATTACTACAACTAAACATTTAAATTATCTAACATCTTTTTGCAACCCATCAACTTATTTTTATTTTTGCAAGTCAAACTCATCACCTAAATAGAATATCAATGATCTGTCATCCACTCTGGCGTCGCCTCATTTCGCCATTACACCCAAGTGTTATTCTCGTCCACTCTTGGATGCCACTGTGTTTTGATTGTGATTATTAATCATTACTCCGTAGGAATTAAAATACCACAAGCTGACTATTGTTGTTGACTTGTTGGTGTCTTGTTATTCAGCTGGTGCCTCGTTGCCTCGTTGGATTGCCTAATATCAAATCTCCCGTTTAGTGTGTCTTGAACTTTGAGCAAATCAAATTTAGGAATGTATAACAAATTTATAAAGCATTGGAAAGTAATGATGTTTTCTTTTGGACTGAAATTTGCTGATCTGATCTGGTTTGGTCTGATCTGGTCTGATCTGATCTTGTCTGATAAACGTCTGATCTCTGTGTATTTTATAACTACGGAAGTCAGGTATGATCTGGTCTGGGACTGAAAACAGTCCAAAAGAAAACATCCTAACGCATTTGACATCGTCTTAAGCTCGACTATAGTAGGTAGTACTGTAGTACTAACTTAGCTAGTCATAATAAGTTACTTATATTTAATTTCTACACTAAAAAATTACGTGACATGACACACATAGATAATCCAATTGATTGAGTCGTAAGAAATTTGAAACATTGACAAAGATTGAAACTCAACTCACAACGACCATGCGGGATCATAACTATTCTTTGTTGGACTGGACCTCTGATGCGTACATGTACTAGTTCTACAACGATTAGATTGAATGAGTCAGGAAACTTACAACCTCTCAAATACATCGTTGAGTCGGCGCACAGAGAGTCCTTTGAGATTGGAGATTGGATTAACCTTTTGGAAAATCGAAATAAACTCGTCCGTAATAGATAAAGGGTAAAACATTAAACTACCCCACTTTTGTCTATACGACTATACTCTAATGTAGAGAGTGAATTAATGTCTAAACATTTGTAGACAACAGGATTATACTCCGGAGCTTTCAGCCGTCACCTTCTCCGCTTCATGCCATGATAGACCATTAGAGCTCTTTGGGACCATTAAAATTTGCTAAATTGGCTAATTTTAGTGAAATTAATAAAGTTCTCACTCAATTGATTGAAGATATTTATTTAATTTTATAAAAAAAAATACAAAATAGATTTTATTAATAAAATAAATAAAAAATTATATGAAAAATAACTAAAATGATACTCCCTCCGTCCCGAATTATAAGATACTTTTCGGTTTGCGATGTTTAACCAACGATAAAGCAATCAGATCCCTGTCCGCACTCAAATTATTTTTAGAAAAAAACACATACTCAGAAACTTCATTAAAACCGCTATGAAACCTGCAAAAAATTAAAATTTCATAAAATTTTGATATATAAAGTAAGAGATTAAGACTGATTTGTGTTGACCAATTGAATGGTAAATATATCTTTTAAAATGGGACAGAGGGAGTATTCTACAAGAACTTCAATTCAACCGGGAAAATAAATTCAATTCTATTTATTTTGACTATTACTTAATTCAGCGTACGAGATCAAAAATTAAGTGTTTGGTAAAGAACATAATTACCAAAGAGACTCTTAATACTCCGTATTAATATTCAAATATGGGTTGATGATTAAATACTAAAAGGTTTTCTACCGAATAAAACATGTTATTGACATACTCGTATAGTCGTATGAGTTTAAGAAAATAAAGAATTAATTGATGATTTTACAAGGTTAAACCTTCAAAAATTAAGAAAAAGCCATATGAATCCACAAAAAGGTAAAAAATAAGATAAAGTGGAATACTAAATTAATTATGGTGGATTCTATAATACCCGGTATCATATCTTTGTCTACATGGACCAATCAAAATAATGCAGTTGATTTATTTAAATCCAAATTAAAAATAATACGTAGTATAATGGTGTGGACCAATCAAGTGAATAATAGGTACGGTATTCCATTTTTAAATGGGTACCAGAATTGTCACCATTAATTAATCACGTTAAATTTAGAAAAAGGGTAATGTCTATACGACTATACTCTAATGTAGAGAGTGAATTAATGTCTAAACATTAATTCACATTAATTTCTAATTAATCAAGTGAATAATAGGTACGGTATCCCATTTTTAAATGGGTACCGGAGTTGTCACGTTAAATTTAGAAAATTGATCATAATTATCATAATTTTGAAATAATCCAAAAAAGAAAATGCATGTTACAAAATAAGAAATATTTCTTCTGTCCTAAAATTATCTTCATTCTTTCCATTTCGGTCTGTCCCAAATTTATACCCTCTTTCCTTTTTGACAAAAAATTTGTGGTTCACAACCATTTTTACACAAATCCATCTCTTCTACACAACTCTCTATCACACATTTCTCACTATTTTAAAACTCATGCCAATCAAAATGGAAGTTAATTCATGAGTAAAGCGTCAAAGTCAAATGCGTAAAAGTTGAACCTAAAAATAGTAGAAATGCTTGGTGTCACCTTTTTATGGACACCTTTAACAGTTCAACACTATGTTTACACAGACAAAATTGTTACGTAAACAACTCATATTGAAAATGTGTACTTTTTAAGCAATTTTCAAGAGTCACATTTTTATTCATAATTTTTATTTTCGTTCAAATCCTATCATCATTTCAAAGGTTGGCTGATCAGCGATAGTTTAGCACAAAACAGTAGTCCTAAAACAATCTTATCTTGATTCTATTTAATCTCAACCAAACATACATTAAATTTCCACGTAAATAAATGAATGTAAATATGAGAAGTGAAAACCCCTCTCTCTCCAGATTCAAATCCACACACAAGGTAAAAAAGCAGAACAACAAAAAGGGTGAAATAATTTAAGCGAATAATTACTGTATCATACAAAATGACAGATTAGGACATGTAAATGAATGCAAACATCGGCACTGACACTGAAAGCACGGTGAAAAGCGACGGAACAAAGCTGCCGGCGTCGTTCTGGCTGCCGGTGCTGTTCTCGGAATCATCTGCTGGGCTATCCGCCGGAGCGCCGCCGGGAGACGAGGTCGGAGGAGCGGGTGGAGAGAGGGAGGGAGCCGGAGCATCTGCCACAGACGGACTTGGGGCGTCCGAAACTTCAGGCGCCGGTGCAGGAGAGACATCTGGAGAGAGCGCCGGAGCCGGAGAAGGCGCATTCCCGAAGAGCTCAGTAGGGAGGAGCACATTGTCGACGGTGAAGATGCAGAGCGGCGTCGAATCTATCACCGTTGAAGCAACCTTCGACGAATCCACGCCGGTGGTGAGACTGACGGAGTCTCCATCCTTCTTCGTACCGAGCACATACTTTCCGGCGCCGCTAGCAGCGAGAGTGGAAAGGGGTTCCTTCGAGGTCTTCAACGTCCCCATCGGAGTGTACCCCCCGACGGCGTGATACTGTAAGAGCGCAACCAGATCGGCATTGCTAAGTTTACTCAGATCCGGCAAGCTGTCCTCCTTGAAAGCCTCATCGTTGGGGGCAAAGACGGTCAACCCTGTGTCGACATTCTTCTCAAAATTCTTAATAACGCCGGAAGAAATCAACAAGCCTGCGAAAGTCTTACACCCAGCCTTCTCGAGGGCGGCGGTGATGTTGAAATCGGAACCCGTCGGAGCCGCAGCATCGACGACCGCCTGGACAATGATAGGCTCGTCGATCTGAACCACGGATATATTATACGGAATTTTCTTAATCTCCTTGACGTAATGAGAGGTGATAGGCGATTTGGGAAGAGCAGATCCGAACCCAACCTTCCCACCTTTCTGATCGGTAATGTTGAGGGTGCCGGCGATTCCCTGGGCACTTCCGGTGGTCTGGTACAAGGTGGTGCTCATGCTTGTACCTTTGGTCATATCATGGAGCTTACCTCCATCCCAGTAGTCAAGCAAGACGTGGAGCTCGAGAATGTTTTTGATGGTGGAAAGTGAGTGATTGGCTGTAACGGCAGAGAAAGCGCCGTTACTGGGAACCAGAACGGTGATGGTGGTTCGGGAGTTGATCTCGTCGGCGAGCTTAGTCTGAGAGAGGTATCTGTTGAAATCGCTGTACTCCGGGTGACCGGCAAGGATCTCGGTGATGTTGTGGGCGGTGGTGACGGTGGAGGAAACGGCAATCATGGACGCCGTTACTAACAGGAGAATATGAAGTGCACCCATGGCGAAGCAAGATCTCAAAGATGGGGATGAGAGTTGCAGAGATGGTGGTATTAATTGTGGTTGAGGGAAGTAACCATGGTTAATTGCTTAACCGCAGTTAGGGTTCAGTTATGCTTTTCAGGGTCACAGCTGGAAATCCTAGAGTGTCGGCATTTATGCTCTTTATTTAATTTTAATTTTAATTTTTATAGTCTGTACTTTTGATATCAAGCTAGTTGAGCAGATAAATATAAATATGGAAGCCAAAAAACAGTATAAAAGGCAATGACGGTGTGATCCACTATTTAGTAGACATGAATCTTCATCATATGTCCTACATGGCTACATGTCACATTTGTATGATATTTTTGTTTTGGAAAAATTGATAATAATAATCCTAATTATTGATGGTCCGCTCATAATAATCCCAACTATCAATTATTTCAGAATAATCCCAACTTTAGGGATTGGACCTTCCACCAATAATGGTCCCTATAAATAAATTTTCGTAGTTTCTAAAGTGGATGAGAAGAGATATAACAAGTAATCCATATAAATAATCCCAACTTTTAATTTTACGCTAAATTTCTATTTAAATTCACTTTTTATAGGAGGTAATATCTGGTCATGGATCATTATTGGCGGATGATCCATATAGTTGGGATTATACAAAAATAATCATTAGTTGAGATTATTATCAGTGGACCAGCAATAGTTGAGATTATTATTTTCAAATTTCCCCTTTGTTTTTCAATACAACTCTTCAAATTTTAGGTACAATTTAATTAAGGAAAAATTCACAAGAATAATCCCACCTTTCACTGGTTTACTCATAATAATCTCACCTTTATATAATCCCACATTTGCACTTCATCTTCTTTCATTGGATCATGACCAAGTTTTTTACCTTTCTTTGAAAACCTTATATAAATAATATCACATTTACAAAGATATAATAAAAAAAGTGAAAGATGAGATTATTTACATGATTTTCAAAGAAAGGGTAAAAAAATATGGTCAGTGTCCAATAAAAGAAGATGGAGTGCAAAAGTGGGATTATTCCGGGATTATGTAAAGATATGATTATTATGAGAAGATCCGTGAATAGTGAGATTAGTCTTGTCAATTTTTCCTTTAATTAATCAATTTTTTCTTTAGAGAAATTTATGAGGGGTTTCGATAAGTGAATGTCTATAGAGGTTTTCTTATAGTGTGTCTAAACATTTGCTTGCACAAATGCTTTAGTAATTGATTTTATGAGACATTTCTTGCGTAACAAAATTAGAATTAGGATTGATTTATCCTATTGAGGGGGCTAAAACAAAGGAGGTTGAAAATATCTATATTTTCTGCCGTAAACATGACCTAGCGGTCTACACCGGCATTAGTTAAAACTGCCCCCGTCTCCGAAACAACTTCCCGATTTGACCTACACACATATTAAAGAAATAAACTTATTAGGTGGTAAATTTTACTGTGTTGACACTGTTTCGACACTGTTTGACACTGTTTTGATATAGATAACTTTCCATTTAAGGAAATGAGAAGTTAATTTTTTTTGAGAGAGTTAAATTAGGGACATCGAAATAAGGAAAGTGAGAAGTTGTTTCAGGGACGGAGGGAGTATGAAGTACTCCATCCAAACTTGATCTCTAATGAAATTGTCAAAACCATAGATAGGTTTTCGTAGCTCTGGATCAGTCAAAATATCATTTGGATTGAATTCTACACGAGCATGTTTTTACCTATTATTTTCTTCATTTGATCGTTTTGACTTTAAATACTCACTATCTGTTACAAATTTAAAATAGAAACAAATAATCTAAAAAATATAAAATCATATCATAATTCATAAATATTACAAACTTAAGTTCATCTATATCAAATAAATTTAAAGTAATAATTAATAAAGTACCTAAAAGGTAAAACTAAACAAAATCGTAGTGATTTAACTTTCAATTTATTAGATTAGACTCTAAGGAGTTAGGCCGGTAAGGGTGAATTACCTACATTAAGACGGAGCTAAAATCAAACATGTACGAGGCCTAAACCCATGTAAATAATTAATTGACTTTGTTTAATTGACAAAACTATAAACAATAAATGGAGGCCTAAAATCTAATAAACTACTACGAGGCAGAATTGAGTTTAATCCAACTACGAGAGCTATATCTATGAGAACAAATGAAATTTGGGCAGCGTGAGACAGTATTATTAATCCGGAATTTGGTCCCTTGATATGAAATATAAAATAAGTATTTATGAACTCTATGAACTAGTGTTCTAGGAGGAAACTGATACATTAAATGCTTAATAATCGAAATAGACTCCTATAACCTCCTGGACGTTGTGCAAGATTATCCCTTTAAGTCCACGTTTCTTCCGTTTATTCCCGCCTACTGCCAGATAGCTATGCTCGAATGATAGTCTATCACGTAAGCCCCAAGGAAAGTCCAGCCTCACTAGAACTCCGCTCAGGCTCGAGGTCTGCTTTCCAACCTGGCCTGGCTGTGGATTCCCTTCGTGGGTCTGATTCCTAATTAGGCCCAACGACTAATCAATATTAATTTTGTTTATGGGCTGATCCCGTTAAGAGCTTGATCCCGTTGAGGGCTTGATCCCGTTTATGGGCTTAATCCCGTTTATAGGCTTTAACTATAATTTCGTAATTGGGAATGACCGTGATCCATGGTACCATCACGACCCACCCCCTACTCTCTAAAATCAGCAAGGCTGGATTTTAGGAAAGTAATCGAGCGGGTACTTCAAATTTCGAATCTCTGATGAACTGTAGCGTCGTTCCGCATTAAATGCGCCCTATTTGACACATGCTTACAGCTCGACACAACCTCCAATCCGCCCCACTAGCTTCAGCACTCAAGTGCACCGATTGCGGTTTCCAAGAGGTTCCATTGTTCTAATGTATTTAAGCGTTCATCATCACTCATAAAGAAACTTCCGCAATTTTTGGCATCGCACAAGCATTCCATTTCCTTGGTTGGGAACCCTAGACTACAAGAACTCTTCTCCTTCTTCTTCGTTTTTCGTCGGGTAAGTCTTCTGATGTCTTCTTCTAGTTCTGTTCCCGTCCAACATGTATTTCTTGATGAAGGGGCCACATTGAATCGGCCCCAAATTCCTGTGAACTCCCATGGGGTTGAGACTCATTTCTTTCTTCTGATCACGCCCGGAGAGTCCCGGTTGTCGCCCTTTCTGATTGCGAATTCAATGAGGCGGTGGCCCTCACGGGCCCTAGCATTATCTGCTCCCGTCCTACCCCCGGGCAGAACCTAGTAGAGCCCCCTTCCCCCCTTCATTTGGGGGGGGGGGGGGGCATTTGGCCACTCTGCAAGTTGGGCTCCGTTTCCCGCTTCACAATGCCCACTTGAACGTTATGCGTCATTACGGCGTGATTCCGGGTCAGCTTACCCGACTACCCATATGTTCATTGTCGGGTTCATTGCCCGGTGTATTCATATGAAGATCCATCCGTATCTTAATATTTTCCTCCACTTCTTCCATTCTGTAAAGCCTGATGCTTCCGAATCCCTGGGTTGTTTATCAATCTCCTAACAAGCTGACCATCGTTTATTTGAGGCCAAGTCCTATCCTGACTCCTTCAAGGGTTGGAGACAGAAGTGGGCATGGGTCACCCCAGCGAATGGCAAGCTTCTGTTTGAGAACAAGTGGGGGGAACTAATCCAGAGGTGGGTGATGCTTTCCTTGCCAGAGGGGAATGTCGAGGCCGCCAAATTGATTGTTGATGTCTCACCCTTTCTAATGGGGCACTACATAGGTGAAAGACGGAGTGGTTATGCTTACATTATTGCCAGGTCGGCTACGCCTGATTTAGCATTCGTTTTATGTTCCTTTGTCTGTTTTTTCTTTTTCTGATAAGGTTTTTGCTTTGACGCAGCGGGTGATAAGATGACATCCCAGTTGGAACGACTTTCCGCGAAGGCTGGAGCCACCCCTGGTCCCTTGGTCCCACTTAGGAAGATCCAGACCCGGGAAGCAATTGGGGCTGCCTAGGAGAAGTCGGGGGGATCCATCCCGGAGACAGTGTTGTGACTCTAACTACGCCGGCTGTTGACCTTCAGCCTCCCACTGCAAAGGGGGTTGGGAAGAGGCTGACACTCCAGCATGTCTCCGGGCCCCAGAAGAAGAATAAAGTTGTTGTGAGTAGGGCTGTTAACGAATCGAGCTTTTATCGAACTATTCGAGTTCGAGCTTGGTTTCGAACCTAACAAGCCGAGCTTAACGAGCTTTTGAACTCGAACCCGAGCTGAGTTTTAAGTTCGAAATATTAATTGAGCTGAGATTGAACATAGTAGTACTCGGCTCGGTTCGAACTCGAGCCTAACGAACACCCTGAAATTATAATTTTTATATATATATAATCAAAATTTAAATATAATTAGTATGATTTTATGAATTTAAACATGTTTATTAACAAACTGAATACTTGTCGAATCATTCGAGCACGAGCCTATTAACGAGCATCACCTAAAATTTTAAATTCTACCATATTTATCGAGCTTATTGAGCGCTCGGTTCGAACATCGGACGCCTATCGAGCCGAACACGAGCCTCATTTGTAATGCTCGCCGAGCTTCGAGCTTGAACCCGAACACCATTAATTCCTTATCGAGCCGAACTCGAGCTCTAGGTGTTTGGGCTCGGCTCAGCTCGTTAACAACCCTAGTTGTGAGGCCCACTGAGGAGGTGTTTGATGTAGACTCGGACTCGGATGCGCATCTCAAGGAGGTGGCAATCAGGGGAAGTCCCTGACACCTGTCCATACCATCAGGCTTACCATAAAGTCTGGATCAGCCTCCATATTCTAGCGCACTGTGAACCCGATGTCTCTAGGTCTGACCGTCACTCCTCCCGCTGATGCTGAGGAGATCAAGGAGTTGTCTCCCCGAGCTGCTATCCTCCGGGTTGTTCATGTTATGTCTGAGGTATATCCCTATCTGATTTTCCCACTGTGGTTGTGTTTTAAGAATTCTATAAGCTTGTTTCTCATATGTGAAACTCCCTTGTTTTAGGCCTTCGTGCTTGCGTCATCTGGTTCCCGTTGCTTAGACAAGGGGCACGATGTGCTCAGGACCTGTTTGCGGATCTTAAGGAGAAGACGTCGGATTTAGAGCAGAAGTTGGGGAAGGCAGTGAAGGAGGCCATCACACTTCAGAAGAGGCTTCTCACCGCACCAAAAATGGTTTCACCGGGTCCTGGACTACTCTTTTATGCGTGTGTTTGGTACAACGTTTTATCCCAATTTTTCAGCTACTTCGGCTAATAAACTCTCACCTAGGTCTGTTCAGTGTGTTTTCCTTGGCTATGCATCTGGCTATAAAGGCTATCGTTGTTTTGATCCTGTCACAGGCCGTGTTTATGTCAGCCGTCACGTTAGGTTCCATGAGGATATTTATCCCTTTCAAACACTTCCCAATTCTGGTAAAATTGTCTCACCTTCCTCCAAGCCATTTCCGATGTCACTCATGGCTCTACCTCCTGGCAGCACCGCGCGACAGTCACCTGACACTAGGTCGTTAGTCTCCGGTCTTCAATCTCTTCCATTATCGTCCAGTAGTGATATTTATTCTCCCAATACCCAGCCTCGACCATCCTCCTCTTCATCGGTGTCGACCTCATCCTCAATGTCTGCCTGAAGCCCGGTTTCCCCTTCATTCTTCACTTTAGGTTCTGCCCCTAAGACTCCTACCCCTGAACCCATCGTCCCTACCGAAAGTGCCCAGCCCGCAGCCGACACCTCTCCGCCTAGCCCTATTGTTTCGTCTCCGGTGGCTAACATGCATCCCATGCAAACCCGTGCTAAGGCGGGAATTTTTAAACCAAAAACCATTTTTAATTTAAGTACAATTGTTAATCCTATAGATCATACTTGCTTTAGTGAGGCTAATAAACATTTAAAATGGAGGAATGCAGTGGCCGATGAATTTAATGCTCTCATTAATAATAACATTTGGGATCTGGTGCCCTTTGACATTTCTAAGAATATTGTTGGTTGTAAGTGGATTTATAAAACCAAATATCACTCTGATGGGTTAGTGGAATGCCATAAAGTTCGATTGGTTGCTCAGGGGTTTAATCAACAGGATGACATTGATTTCTCTGAAACTTTTAGACCTGTTATTAAATCCACCATAGTATGTATTGTTCTTACTCTTGCAGTCTCCTTTGGTTGGGTCATACGTCAACTTGATGTTAAAAATGCATTTTTGCATGGTCATCTTACTAAGGAGGTCTATATGCGTCAACCCTGTGGTTTTATTCACCCTCAATTTCCTAATCATATATGATGTTTGTATAAGACCATTTATGGTCTTAAGCAAGCCCACGGGCATGGTTTCATAAGTTTAGTATCTTTCTTCTGCAACATAATTTTTGTTGTAGTAAGTCTGATAATTCGCTATTCATTTATCGCCATAATAATTCTATCATTTATTTATTATTATATGTAGATGATATTATTATTACTGGTAATTCTGAGTCAACCATTACTCAGTTTATTTCTATTATTTCTACTCACTTTGTTATGAAGGATCTGGGTAATTTACATTATTTCTTGGGGATTGAGGCAAATCGGTTTACTAAAGGTCTGTTTCTTTCACAAAACAAGTATATTTTTGATCCTCTCGCCAGATTTCATCTCCATACGGTTAAACCTGTTCGCACCCATTAGCGTCTCACACCACTTTGTCCCTTTCTGATGGTGAGTTACTTTCGGATTCCACTAAGTATCGCAACATGCATTACATTCGGATTACACTTGGTATCACAATATTTAACTTTGACACAACCTGATATTACTTACGCAGTACACTTGGTGTCTCAATTCATGCATGCCCCCGACTATTCATCTTCTTGCAGTCAAAAGAATTTTCAGGTACTTGCATGGAACACGCGATCATGGGTTGTGGCTTCAGCATTCGGCCAAACCCACATGTGTTGTCGCTTATTCGGATGCAGATTGGGCTGGATGTCCTGATAGCTCTCGGTCCACCACAGGTTTTGCAATATTTTTGGGCCCTAATCTTATTTCTTGGAAGTCGAAGAAGCAACCCACAGTGTCCAAGTCTTCTACAGAAGCCGAGTATCGTGCTATTGCCTACACAGTTCAGGATACCTTACACATTTGATCCGTTTTGTTTGAGCTCGGCTTCCCTATCACAGAACTTGTGCATTTATTGTGTGATAATATTTCTGCTTCATATTTGACTGCTAATCCTATTCAACATGCTCGGAGTAAACACATACAGATTGACTATCATTTCGTTCACGAACGTGTTGCTCACGAAGATCTGATTGTTCATCATGTTCCTACTCACTTACAGTTGACAAATATGTTTACTAAGAGCCTCCCTAGACAGCGTTTTAATTTTTTGAAGGACAACTCCGCGTCATTTCTCCCGCATAGATTGATGGGGTGTAATAGAATTAATAGAATAGGGATATATATGTATTTTTACATTAAACTCTTTCCCTATAAATATATCTGTCAGGGCTCTTTCGAGAGTATCATGTTCCATTATTTGACATGTTATGGTCCTGAAGTTACCACATCGCTCGCATACGAGATAGTGTGTGTGTGCGCTTATAAGGAGGGTCTGAAGCTCTTACTTGTGGACTCGTTTTAAAGCCGTGAGAACTTGAAGTATTAAAACGGACAATATCCACAAGCTGTTTATTACAATAATTAATAAATCCAACAATTATAGAATTAGCTCCCATAATTCATTCACTAATGTAGAAATAATTAGTCAAATATTTCTCCAACACTTTCTGTTGTTACTATTATGTTATATATATATATACTATTTATTCTACTCCGTATTTAAATACCTTTTGTTTCTTTGTTTCGTTAATTCGTTACATCATTTTCCAATACCTTAACTCTAATCGATTAACTATATGTTGTTTATTAAAAAGATTATAATAAAAGCAATAGTAATTCTTTCAAAAATAAAAGCAATAGTAATAAACCTTAACTTATCATAACTTTATCATAAGTTTATGTTCTTTACTCCGTATATGATATCGGTGAAAGCTCCATCCAATATGCTTCGCATTGCTTGTATAACACTCCGTTCAACTTAATCAAATAACTTTATGGTAGCAAAAGAATCAATGAGGTGTCGTGGTGTAGTTGGTTATCACGTCAGTCTAACACACTGAAGGTCTCCGGTTCGAACCCGGGCGACGCCAATTCTTTTCTTTCTCTGGTTGCCCTGCAGGTCTAAATGTTTTGTTCCACACCGGAGATCTCTGGTTCAATCCTGGGTTTAACCAGTTATTTACTTCGTATTTGTTTGTTGTGTTTTGGATTATAATTTTGCAATAAGAGGTGCATCGTTGTGTTCTTTGCTATCATGACAGTTAATCACACTGAGGATTCCAGCTCAATAATTTTCATTGGCATTTTTGGATTAATTTTTATTTGTGAAGGTATTCATCAATAATGCACACTCCGTAGTCTGTAGGTATTCATACATAATGTCATCCACATTAAATTTCTCTGTTTTGCTCAAACTGCAAAATATAATCTTAATATGCACACCGAGGATTCCAGTTCAATAATTTTGATTGGCATTTTTAGATTAATTTTGTTTGCATAGGTATTCATCGATAATGTCATCCACATTAGATTTCTCTGGTTTGCCCAAACTGCAGAATATAATCTTTATATGCACATGCATCAACCTATAAGAAGCAATTTCGCCCAGAAAATACATGCTCTGGGTGTGCAAGACATATTAATACAATTTTTGACAAGGAACCATTTATGTAGAGTACAGAACACAATTTGGTATATCTGGTTGTGCCATAAGACATGGATAGTAAGCACTTCACCAACAAAAGGAGGAACAAGTGAAGTTCTTTTCCTATTGATGTCTTACAAAGTTTTTGATTAAAATATCTGCCATCTCAAAGATTCAGTAGGAAGAACAAATTGGTCAGCTCTAGGAAGCTCCCTTGGGGTTTGCATTGTTCGTTATCCAAGGATGATCCATAATCTTCTGAAGAGATAGCCTTTTCGAAGAGTCCTTCACAAGAAGCTGCCCCATACAATATTATTATTTTTAATATGGTGTTTTCTTCTGCTTATCATTATCATTAATATTAGAGCATGAATATGCAACAAAGGTATACACGAACTCACCCGACTAATGAGATTCTTTGCTTCTGTAGAGATCATAGTGGTGGATGGAAAGTTTAGGTCAACCTTCTTAATCCTACATCATCATTCATTTATCGTGCATCATCATCATAACAATCTTGTTACATAGTTAAATAAATAGACATTACAAACAATATAACCTTAGTACCTTGTAAAGGTATCCGTCTGGTTTTCTGCCTCAAATGGAGGCATACCATACAGAAGCTCATAGCAGAGAACACCTAGAGTCCAGTTATCAACTGCATAATCATGAGCTTTGTTCTCCACCATTTCTGGTGCCAAGTAATCCAGTGTTCCACACATTGTGTGTCTCTTGCTTTTTGATTGCACTGACCACCCAAAGTCCCCAATCTTCAACCGCCCCTACATTCACCATCACCCTTCAGTTAAGGGTTTTGTTGGCTCCTGGATTTTACTAGGGAAATAAAATTGGAAGGAAAAATTGGATACATATTGAAAGGAAAGAAAGGGGAGTAAATTATATGCTCAAGCTCGATAAGATTACTTTAGATAGTTGTTGAAAGTCTATTGTATAATTCATTTAAAATATGCAAAAAAAATGTTTAAACACACAATGATATTCCATTTTCCTCAGCGTTTTCCAATGTAAACCAAACATGAGAAAGCATTTTTTTAAGCACTTTTATCTTTCTTTTGCAGTGTTTTCCAGGATCCGAACATATGCTAAATACGAGGCAGGTAGTGATGGACCCAGGGCTTGGACCGAGCGGGTAAAATACCATACCAGAAACCCGTTTTTAGTTTTGAACTGGAACCAGGTATCTTCCGCTATTTGTTAATTATTATACATCTTATTAAAAAAAGAGTGGAAGAGAAAATTTGTAGAAAGATGGAAGCAATAGATACAGTAATATGCAAAAGTAATGGGGAAACTAGACATTGTAGTACTAGGACTCAACTGAACTAGGTTCCCAATTCTTTAGGCCAATATTTTCCCAGTATGCTACTCTTTAGTTAGGCTTTTAAGCCAAACAATTATGTAAGGAGATGAATTAGTTTGCTTTAAGGCACACTAGAAACCCGTTTTTTGTTTTGAACTGGAACCAGGTATCTTCCATTATTTGTTAATTATTACACATCCTATGAAAATAAGAGTGGAAGAGAAAATTTGTAGAAAGATGGAAGCAATAGATTACAGTAATATGCAAAAGTATTGGGGAAACTAGAAATTCTAGTACTAGGTTCCAAATTCTTGAGGCCCGTGTTTTCCCAGTATGCTACTCTTTAGTTAGGCTTTTAAGCCAAGCAATTATGTAAGGAGATGAATCAGTCTAATGCTTTAAGGCATACTAGCAGCCATAGCCTTCAACACAAAAGTCCTAGTCTGGTGTGTTAAAGCATACTAGCAGTCATTACCTTAAACACAAAAGTCCCAGTTCATTAGTAAAAGGCTCAAGACCATCAAAACAGGTAGAGTGAGAAAATTGCTACAAAATGAATGATTTTTTGGTTTCACCAGCTTAAAGTTCATCTTTCCAAGTAAAAAATTTCATTTTATTTTGAAGGCATCAAGAAATAGAAAATAAACTTACGAATCCACAGATTTACAAGTAAACAGGCAACGAATAACATCAGTTCCCCACAGAAGCAGCAAATAAAGAAGAGTGACACAGCAGGGTTACCTCGTGGTCCAGTAAGAGGTTTTCCGGCTTTATGTCCCTGTGAATCACATTTTTCTCATGACAATAGGCAAGTGCTTGCGCAAGGCTTACAACATACTAAATACCAAAACAAAAAAAAAAAAAAATGCCTATCAGATATGCATATCCCAAACTTCATAAATCTCTGATAAGAAAAAGTAAAAACAAACAATCTAAATCCAGGTTATTGTGCTGAAAATTAACCCAAGGGAAGGGGGGGGGTGAATAATGAACGTGAAAGAGTGAGCAGATACAGTAGCCGCTTGTTCTTCAGAAAATGTGCCAGATTTGCGGAGTTCCTTGTAGAGTTCCCCACCATGAGCATACTCCAAGATCAGGAAAATCCTCTCGTCATCATGAAACCACCCGTAGAGCCTCAGAATATTCGGATGCCTGAGACTGCTCTGTATCTCCATCTCCCTCCTAAGCTGATGATGCAGCCTGTACTTCTCAATTTGCTCTTTAAAAATCACCTTCAGTGCCACTATGAACTTGGTCTGCAAAACCGAATGTTGAGCTCCAGAATGGGATTCAAAGAAAACTGAAACAATTTTACGGTGACAATAGATTACCTCCGCTTCACGAGCAAGGTAGACCCGGCCGAACTTGCCCCTTCCAAGGGGTTTCCCGATCTCGAAATCGCTGATTGACCACTGCTTTCTAACCGTCTTAGATCGTTGCTTGGGAGGCCTTTGGCTGTGATTTGTTGAGTGGGAGGCCATTCTTGACCGTGTCCGGGGAGTTTGTAACCGCCGGCCTGTTGAATACGATGACATTGCGGTTAGGGCTTTGCTAGTTTGCTGTGGAGGGAATTTTCAAGTTTCAAATTGTTTAACCCGTTTGGTCATCACTCATCAGCCTTCGGCAGAGCCTTCAAAATGGGTCGAAATCCAAGTCCTGATCCGTTTAAACTGATTTTTTTGTGGATTAGGATTGTGAATTTATGACCCATTTGGTTTGCAGGTTTAAGTGGATTGACCCAACCAGTTGCGATTTTAAGTGAGCTAGCTCAACAGATTGAGGGTTGATCTGCGGGCCAATATACAAAAATATAATTTTGACTTTTATTATCTTCAATAATGTGCTTTTTACTACCAAAAGTATTATAATTACAATTAAAAAATTACAATAATTTCAAAATAATTATTATTTCTATTATAAATATTCAAATAAAATGTTGAAACATATATTTTATATGAAGTTTGATACAATATTTGGCAATTAATAGTCATGATTTACATATAATCAATCAAAAGGTTTAAATAGATCTTTACTCTTATAGTTTTCAAATTCTCTTATAACTAGTATTTGATACTTTTTAATTAAACTCAACAACTATCGAGTTCTTAGTATTTTGATTTCTTATATATCCCTTGTTACTACTTACTAATATTAATATATTACTCTAGGGTAATTATTTTTAAAGAATCTTTTGTCATATGTTTTTTTTACATTGGCCCGCGAGCCAACCCATTTAACCCAAGGGTTAGTTGAGTCGGGTTAGGGTTGTAGAGATTCTGGCCCGTCGCTAAACGGGTTGGCCCAACCCAACCCAGATAAAGCATACCCCGTCACGGGTCGGGTCGGGTCAGGTTGACTCGTTCATAGCTTTAGCGTTCAGTGGCTCATAAATAAATGTTTTTAATTGAATTACTCTTTATAATTTAACTTTATTTATCACATAACAGGTTGGAAATTTATTTTATTTTTATCATAAAAGAGTAGCCGTTAAATTAAAATCGAGAACATATACAAGACAACTTTGAGATAGAATTTACAGATCCAATCGTGAACTCTAGGAGTAGACTTAGAGTCACTCACCTCATACAAAGCAACATGACTCGCTAAACTGAAAACGGGCAAATTTAGACCTAAAATGTTCAGAACTGAAACTTTGTCTATTAAAAGAACTCCAAAAAAACAAACATTCAAACCAAATCTACCCTGACTAAAACATAAACAAATGCAACTAAATAGAAAATCATACTGAAATAACATCTTTCCACAAAGTTCTTCCTGGTATAAAGGTGGTTTCGGAGGAGGACGAGCTCTTACAATATGGGTGAATGCCAACTCCACCACCTTTGGAATGACCAACCAAGCCTTCACGATCCAGCCAAGATACAACCTCCCAGCCGCACCTAGTTCATCCGCCAAACGCTACCTCCTCTGACGTAGTCGCAATTCCAAGTGTTAGAACAGTCACTTGCGTGCGCGGGCGACTTGCGTGCGCGGGCGACTTGCGGACACGATTGTTGTCCAAAAATCTATTTTCCAAAGATAAGATTCAATTTTTGTTTCTTCCCGTAACGTTCTATTTTTTCCTTAGTGTGTGCTCGATTTCTTCAGTTCGCTCCGGCCGGAACAGAAGACGTGTCCGGTCTACTGTCCGCTGCGGAACCAGAAGACGTTATGGTCTTCTGTCCGATGCGGAACCTGAAGACGTTCTGGTCGTCTGTCCGATGCGGAACCAGAATACTTCTGAACCGTTACAGCAATAAATGCCCAGCATTCTTATCTTTTAATGTAGCGTTAAATGGACAGTTCATGGATGATTCAATGCCCAATGGACTAGTCATTGATGTCCAATGTTCAGGTCCATTAATTCACCATTAACCCAAAACAAATCCTCCTATAAAATGGCTGGCGGGTGCTTTGCAACAACGCATGCAATCTTACACGAAGTGCACGTGTTCTTAAGCTCAAAAACACCTTCAGCTACTTCCGAAAATTTCCTTAATGTTCTTGCTTGGTTTCCGTTCGCTGAAACTTTTGTTTGTGTGCTCAAACAATAGTTCGTATTCATCGTATCCTGGGAAACGATTCTTGCAACGCTCCTAGCACCGTTAGAGACAACGAATACGTTTTAAGGACATCGTGCGTAGCACGAGCTTTGACTAATTTCTGCTCCATCTATTTTCTGTTTTTCTTTCGTCATTTTAATAAGTTTATTTTAATTAATTTTTTTTGTTTTCCAAAACACACCCATTAGGCTGGTGGGGTAATAGCAGTGTGGAGATGGAGAGGGACGGGCAGTGGCGGTTCATGGGCGGAGAAGCGGTGGTGCTTAGGCAGCGGGTAACATGTCATTGTGGGTTGGGTAATGATAGCCTACGCGCTTTTGCGATGTTGTAGTAAAATATATGGAGTTTAACCTTCCAGATGGAAAAGTTTATGGCCGAGTATCGATTCTCTGAGAAGTGGCAGAGGAGAGTGTTGCTTTCAAAATCAGTCGCTGGTTAGTACGAGTATCGTTGTGTGGGACGTTCGGCGTGTGAGCACGCATATCGTTCTGCCTTACCTACTGGGAGGTGCCTGCACCTGTGTGGGCCCCATGCCTTGGGAGGGCGGTGCCCCGCCAATTCGAGTGTGGACGGAAGGACGGTGTCCGTCAGATTTTGCCGTTCGCTCCTTAAACGACTGCATTTGTTAGATCGGTGAGAGGGGCGTGTGTTGGGAGTTTGCTGAGTGCACACGCTCCCGAGCCTCTTGCTCGTCTGCCATGCGACACATGGTATCCGCCAGTTCCCTCATGACTCGAGGGTCCTGCCTGGCTGGCTGGGGGATAAGGTTGGTGATGCCACCGCCTCCCCCCGCAGACCACAGTCTTTCAGAACGTCTGGTGGTCTACACATGTGATCTCTTGTTGCAGGCCACACGAGTAGAAAACATGCTTATAGTGACACCTTTTAATATAGTGTCACTAAAATACGACATATCTTTTTTACGATGTATATGTGTAATTAGTTTCTGACACAATGGTATCACTCTCAGATAGTGACATTCACACCTTATTTTATTTTCTTTTATTATTATTTTGTCATATTTAAACACCTAAAACTTATTTTCTTTCTCTGGTCTCTACCACTCTTTCTCTCTTCATCCGCAGAACCCTAGCCAGAGTTTCTCCACGACCAATTATTCTGCTTAGGAATCTTTATGAGCGATTCTCGTCACTCCACTTCTTCTACTAAGAAACTGATGAAACGACGTCCTCTAGAAGCAACGAACAACATCTCTGAAAAATAAAGCGAGTTTTAGAGCTTTGCGAACGTTCTTGACGTACGCGTGAAAATGGGTTCGGTCAATCCATGGCTGGGTGGTGTTTGAGTTCATTTTTCTAGTGTTTCTTGGTCGAAATTTTCTCCTGATTCCATCCCCATGCTTGGATTTGCGATTAGTGTGAGGATTTATGGCCAACAAGCAATAAACAAAACTGGATTTGAGCAATTTTACTGTTCACAGTGGGATTGATTTTTGTTAATAGCGTCGATTTAGGTGTTTTTATCATGAAATATAGGGCTCGTTTGGTGTTCACCTTCCTAAACCACACCTCATGGACACTGTTCTTGAGCGGGGTGAGGTTGGGCTGCTGATTCACTCACTGTTCACTTTCGTCCTTGCTGTGACTACCAACTATGGCGAGGAAGAAGCAGGGTTCCATTGACACAACTTAGGGCTGTGCACCGGTTCAAAACCGGACTGCACCGGACCCAACCGGACCGGAACCGGAACCGGATTTGCCATGATATAGAAACCGAAAACCGGACCGGATGTATTCCGGTTTTTATCCGGAACCGAACCGGTTTATCCGGTTCAAAACCGGAACCGGACCGGAAAAACCGGTTTCTAAATAAATAATTTTTTTCTTTACAAAAAAAGCTACTAATCATTTGATAAAGATGGAGTACTTATTATTAAAAATATTACTTTTATTATTATTGTTTTCTAAACTCATTTTAATTAATTTTAGTGAGCAAATATTGAAGTAACTTGAGACTAGAATAATATATATGAGTTAGTTTTATTATTACGATAATAAAAATGAATGGGTGAATATAATATAAGGATAATATATATTATAATCATTATGAAATTGATTGCTATTATATACGTAGTATTTTTATTAGTATGGAGTATTATTTTTTATTTTATAACTATTATTATATTAGTATTAGTAAATATATTTTTAAAAATATAGCAAAACCGGTTAAATCCGGTTCAAACCGGAATAATCCGGTTTTAAACCGGAACCGGACCGGAAACCGGTTTCCTAAATTTTTATAACCGAAAACCGGACCGGATATCATTCCGGTTTGATCCGGTTCCGGTTTTTCCGGTCCGGTTCGGTCCGGTTTTCTGGTTTAAACCGGATAGTGCACACCCCTAACACAACTACAGTGCGTGCTACCAGGTCCATGTTTGCTCTTCTTGCAAATATGGTTGAGAATTTCCCAGCCTTAACTTCTGGGAATAACGTGAAGAAGCCAGATAGTTTACCTTGCTGCACTGGTAACTAGATTTGTTGCTAATTATAAGACTCTGTGTTTCTTTGCTACATGTTTTTCCTGAATTTAAGGTTAGTTTTTGTGCTCTTGAATTGTGTTTTTTTGCTGCATTTTTTTTCATTATGTTTTTAGCAAATGTAGTCAATTTGGAGAAATTAAATTTCACACAACATCCTCTATATTTGTCCAGATTTGATAGTCAAAATTGAATATATCGTACATGTTTGTCAATCCATTAACTCTATTTAGTTTAGCTAATCAGATAATGTTTAGATGTTGATTTTTCAGCTTTATTGAACTTTGGTGTTTGTATGTGTTCAGTGTTTTGACTTATTTTTTGTGAGTACGTGTGGGAATATACTACTGAGCAGAATTGATACGACTTATCGTTTTTCATTACGATTAACCAACGTAATGCAAAAAGATAAGTCGTATCAATTCAAAGAGATCTCATGAGGTTGTAGAGCGAATGGTAAGTCTCAAAGACTATACTGAAATCTTGTTATGAAAAGTAACAATGAATGATTAAACTATTTATTGTAGTAGTATATCCCATGAGGCCACCACTATCAGCGTTGGGAGGATATGAAGGAGTTGGAGAGCTACA